AATTATACTGTCTTTATTTTTTATAATCATCATAATCATGTCGATACCGGCTAAACGTCAGGGTCATTCCGGGAATGCTGTTACTCCTGTTTAAGTTGCTGATACTGTCGCCGTTGCTCTTGATGGCAGCCGAAGTGTTTTACCCAGTCGTACCAGCAACCGCTGTATAAGCTGTTCATAAGGGTAGCGCTGGTTGATGTTGATGCTGTGTGTGTTGTGCCTTCTTTCGGTGAGCAAAGTGCACACGCGCTTATCATTCTACTTTCTCCGAGCTGCGATGCGTGCTGCCTTCCGCTGCAATCGCCTCCGAACGAGTTCCAGTAGACTCGATGAACGGGACGAGCAGGAACAACCCCAATTACAGTACATCATAGCAGATAGAAACAGAACCTTCTACTGCTATTACGAACAGCAGCCTAACGTGAATACAACTATAGGTATATTTCTTCTGGCTACAGCAGCTGCTGCGGCTACGCTACACGCTGCTGTGGTTGGTGTTCTTGCAGCAGCAACAGCAGCAGTAGTAGTAGTAGTAGTAGTATTACTGTTTTAATTCACGACAGCTGCGTATGCAAACCGCTTACTGACACAACAAACGGCAAGAGATACAGCAGTACGATTACGCGAAGCAACACGTTGCCATCGCCTCTGCCGTTGCCATCGCGCTACTTCCACTATCGCCGCTGCCATCCCGCTATTGCAGTTACACTGTGTGTTTTCATGGGCCAGTCAGCGGCGGCGACAACAGCCGAGCAGTATCAGTAGCGGCCGTGGCGTGGCTGGCAGAATTCTGTCGGCGGTGAAGAGCAACGCCACCAGCGACGTTAGCGGTAGAAATAGCAACAGATCTGCCGCAGCTATAGCAGATGGTCAGAGTCAGACGTCAGAGCCAGTCGCGGTCGTCGTCGTCATCGTTGTTCGCGTCAGACGTGAGAGTCAATCAAAAGGAAGTGGTGCGACGGTGTTGGCATGGACTTGTAACTGGATAGAGATCCAGCAGTCAGAGCTGCTGATGCTTTGCACCGCTTTGTGGTCGAATGGCGACGTGTGCGAATAGCAGCTACGGCCGACACTCACCAGCGAGCATCAGTTCATTTTATTATTAATAATTACTATACTTGTTAAACATATTGATATATGTAATGTATTGTATATAATATGTATATTATATGGGGATACTCTGTAAACAAGACTACGATATTAACATTGCGGCTAATACAGTCTTCGATAATCCCTAGTTGGAACGAACTTCTACCTTAAATCAATTGTGTATTACTTCGACGTGCTGACTACCACAATTATACAACAAAGTCAACGAAGCATTTTCGTGATGATTTGTGCTGTACCCCCCAAATGCTGTCTGATTTGTTGCATAACCACTGTGAACACTAACCGGTAAGTGTAGCTGGTAACCGGGTGCTTTGGCAATGAAAAAAGTTCTTGTTCTCAGGTGGTGCTGAACAAGCGCCGAACCAATCGACATCCACAGCAACAGTTAGACATAGCAAAATCTGCTTCTCCAGCTAAGAGGCTTCCCATCGATGTTTTTGTTATACGCATGTTGTCACCGCCGCTGCCGTTGATGTGCGCAGCGTGAAATCTTCATGCCGCAGCAGCAGTTGGTCGTGCAAGTTCAGTAGCCAACTTAGCGGTCGATTACCAGCGTTGAACGGAGATCGGGTTTGCTGTGAAAACAGCGACGTGAAAAAGGCCACACGCGTGTAGGCCATGCAGACATCATCGAGCAGTCTCTATGAGAATTGCAGCAGCGGCAGCAACGCCACCGTCAGCAGAAAAAGGGGCTTCATGACAAATTGTGTCAAGACAATTATATTAAAGTAGACAGGGTGATTGCTACGTATGTATTTGTGTCGCATAGTTGTGTGCGTCTGTTAGCTAAAAAGTGAATGTTGTGTTGGATTACGCCCCTAATCGTGCGTGTAGCAGTAATTTGGTAGTCGGTTCAGCGGGTAGTAAAAATAGCTTTATTGGTTGGCATATAAAGGAAGTGCAACACGGAGCAGAATAAGGACGATTTCTTTAAAGTTGAAAACTGAAAAGATCGACGACTAAAAGGCCAGAGACAGATTCGTGGAAAAATACTTGACGTTCTCAAGAGCAGCCGAATGCAGAGGCCATAACAGCTGCAAACAGGCCAGGAAAAAAGATATGCCTTCTTATAGCTTTGAGCTGGAAATATTGAGGTTGGTCAGAGAGACACGAATTGATCTATCCCGCATAAGCAGCCAAAGGCCGTCAAGCCAAGCTAGGACGAACAATGCAAGCAGGAATTTCCCCGATGGCGTTTGTGTCGGCTGAAACGGGTAAGATCAGTAAGCCTATAGTCCTGTGAATTCTGAACTGTTGCTGCTGTCCGACCGGAGTGGCCTAGCTTCATCGCCCCTGCATGCACCGCATAAGGAAGGAAAACGATAACGACACGATAGCGGACTCGTCGTCAGGGCCCAATTGTGACCTATGCTGTCGTGGTGTGGTCTGTTCTACTCGGGGTGTCCAAATATCTTTCTCTCCCTTTTCCCGTGTGTTCATAGTGTTCAGTGCAGTGACAGGTAAAGAATTGTGCCCCGTATTGCAAAGCTCGTCCAGATGAGGCTACTTTGATTGCAAAGCTGGTATAGCATCAACAGGACGACATTGGCAACACGTTATGCCGCAGAAGAGGAGACCAGCCGCCGTGCCGGAGTGCGGGGACTTGCCGGTGGCATCTTTCTGGTCTGCACACACGGGCAACGAGCGAACGCTTTACAGGCAGCTTGAGAGAAGTGTTAAGCACCGAACGCACTCAACAGAATAGTATCACCAATGGTACCGGCCGGTGTCGGTAACAGCTAAGTGACTCGCCGCTATGCAACTGTCGGTATATTAGCGTCTGTGTATAAACGTGTCACTTCCTTTAAGCGAATGCTGACTACGTTCCTACCTAGCCACCTTCTTCTAAGCCCATGGTACCGGTAACAACACCCGTAGTACAATCGCTTCAGTTTGTCAGTTACATCTTCCGGTTGCTGTGTGACCGAAGAATCTGTCTGTCTTTCTGTCTGTCGATTTTTCTATCCGCTCTGTCATTAACGATATTGAGGGGCAGTTAGTTGCTCGTAGGGAAAAGAAGTACCGCATAAATTAGCAGGCACTACTAACCGCCAGCTATCTAAGGATAGACGTGGACACGCTCGCACAGGTCATAGTATGTGTAATAGTGTCTTTGGTTGAGGGAAGGATGTGCATTGCATAGTGTGTCTGCGCATCGCACATTCAGTGCTTGACGCGTTCTATTGGAAAGAGTCGCTTCTGCGACGGCTGACGTTCTACTATTAGAATTTCTCGTCAACTGGACGCGCCGCCTATGCGTCGAAAGGTAGAAGGTCGGTTGAACGCTGAAACACGCCTATTCAATACTAGTTGTTGTTGGTCTCAAATCAAAGACGAACGCTATCGCTCTCGGTACCCCTGATTTTGATCAGATCAGCTGTAGCTGCAATATTAACAGCCATCGTTTAGCAGACACGAACGAACAGAAACAACCGGTGAGTTTCTGCGCTTCTAGACTGTGTACACGTTCGAAAAGAGGAGGAATATGTAATGTCGATCAACTCTTGCCATCTGTAGCCATTGTCGTTAGCACAGTTACGGGAGCTGCCGTGCTACATAGCTGCTACTGCTGTCAGATCAAGATCAGCATCGTCAATACAGCAACGGACGGGGACTGGAAAGAAGGAGAGCGACAGAAAAAGAAATAGACGGAACAACTACGGAATTACAAAACAAAAATAACCATTAGTAGCATCATTGGTACTACAATTTGCAATAACTAGAATAATATTATCAGTACTTCCGTGGGAAAATACGCTGAGTGGTCAGCACCGTTTAAGTCAACATGCTCTCGGTTCTTCAAACAGATGCTGGCACAGCCGGCCTTCGCATGGTAAGAGGTGGAACAGCAATTTAACAGAATTTTAAAGTTGTAAGATAGTATGAAATAATTAGTCCGGTATAGCTTTATTATTAGGGTTAACTAGGCATAACAGACAGCGGTACGATAAAAAACAAACGTTCGTCACGAAATCACGGTCGTTCCCTAGAGTTCTGAATCGGGATCAGCCAATATATCGAGGAGTACATCACTACGTAATTGTTATTGGTTTGTAGGTATTTGTATGCGTGTCTGTTCCAGCACCAAGACATGTCTAATATTTACGTGTGGCCATCGCGCCTGTCCACCATCGAAACGTTTTCAACTATCCTCATTTTCTTCTCGAGGAATGTAGACAGTAAAATGTCTTTCAGCTCCGCTCTTTTAGCTGAAACCTCTGACGTCCCAGTACCTTACTCTACGTTGGATTTTACACACATGTTGTCACAGTTATAAGTTTATGAACAGTGATAGCGTTGCTGGTTAGATGAAAAGTGAGAAATGCAAATGAGTGTTCGTTACATATGGTTAACCTTTGCTTACACGTATGCTTATCCGACCTCTACCTGCTTGTCACGTTTTTCTTCTGTGTGTGTGCAACTATGTATAAGGACGACCATATTTGTTGCATATTTTCAACGTTACACTTTAGCAAGGTGGTTTCTATACTGCAAGGTGTTTTAGTGCTGCTGGTGACAGCAATGCTGCCATTACTAAATGGGACAGCCAATGCCGGGGCGTTAGCAACAACCGCTGTTGCAGTTACGATTCCTTACCTCAAGCTAAAAGCTCTGGTTAGCGGATTCAACGGAGGATTCAAGCAGAGCTCGCTACTAACTTGCTCATTGTGTAGGCTGGCGGACGCCGGTACTGCTGACGATGGCTAGTAAATACCTTGTGGTTGGTAATTTCTTTCGTAGCTGATGGGCGACGAATGTTGACCGCCTGCCCGCGCTAGCTACTCCCCCCCCCTCTCTCTCTCTCTCTCTCTACTGCGAGAGACTTAGTAAACTGCTTGGCCGGCTGTTTGACGACCGTCCGTCAGTCCGTCTCAACTATTTTGACGACTATTTGCTCCGTGCTGTGCCACACATGCGACAAACATCTCTCGTCCGCCCAGTGCTACTCACATGCCCAGCTAACTCTGTAGTGCTGCTTTTGCTAAGCGCCAAACTTGTTAGCTGGAGAAACTCACGGCCAGTCCTCTAGTCACCCTTTAGTCAACAACGGAGACTGCTATTGGTGCTTTTGCTGCTACGGGCTACCACTCGCCAGTCTTTAACTTTAAGCCCCCCATAATATGTTGTGTAAGCGGCAATAATCGTGTGGTGTGCTACAGACGGTCTCAGTACTATACCGCCGTTGCAATAAGTGTCTAGATAATTGCAGTAGGCATCGAGACAAGCCGCAACGCAAACCACAAGACACGCACATAGTCTACCAGGCTGTATATACAGTTCGTACAAGTATAATCGCAGCGGTAGCAGCGTGATCGGTCGTACGGGCGACCGACCGGGTGAGTGAACAAACGGCTGACTGCCCCAGTCACGGAGTCGCACGCTAGAGCACAGTTTATGTTATTAAGTACCGCGGCGGTTATTGTTCCAGTTGAACACGGTCGATCTAGTAACTTTAGCGGCAACAGGAGCAGTAACAAACGAAGGACGGCAGACGTTGCCTTGCGTCGCATAGCGTAACGTTCTTCCTTCTTAATCCACTCGACATCGGTTGGTCCCCTCCGTACGTGTTGGCAGTGGTCGAAAGTCTGCTGATGCTGTTAGCGGCGATGACGTACGCTGGCGTCTGTCCCCACAAATATTATTCAGCTGTTTAGCTCGCTGACTTGCAATGTCTTGCAACAATGGGATGGCAGAGTATTAATTTTTAAAACAATGTTACAACAACTATTAAGTGTTGATTCCTCAATAGGCAAACATGACTGAACTTGAATGAATGACAAGACCGACCAGCCATTTTAGCTACGACTAAGACGCGATGTGACATTGCTGATACACCAGTGGTCGGTGCGTCAATGCCGTCTTGCTAACGAGTAGTGACTGCGATAGATAACGAAAGAAAAATGGTAAAGATTAGTTATTAATGTCATACATCTGCTACGGCGCCTCGAGGAAGACGAAGACGTCATTTAAAAAAGCGTCGAAGCTCACTCACGGTCGTCGCTTGTTTTGTCGAACATACGCGAATAGTTAACGTGGAATAAGCATCGGCAGTGCCACAAATCAAGTTGTGAAATGTTAAGCGTAGTATCTCCGTGAAAAATGCTAGAGAGGTGTAAAAAACCCGAGTGGAATTCGCCTGTACTAACGTATTATCTCTATCGTTGTATTCTCACCGACCAGCCTACTATGGATTTATATTTACTATATTTATTTTACGTCAAACTCAGTTATTTTTGGTTGAATATTGATTGTGTGGATGTACATATGTATTTAAGCGTAGCACCGACGGAATGAACACTTGGATATGGCACACGCCCCGTACTAAATTGTACGGCGCGTCATCGCGATCGTGAGCAGTTATCGTGCGTTTCAGCTGTTTCTTCTAGAATCAGTCGTTAATTTTGCTCAAACGCTTTTTGTCTAGTCACTAGCACTGTACCTGCATTACTCAACTATCTTTGTAGTTTAAGTAAAACCAACTGGACGCAACTCCTGAGATTAGCCATCTTATAGATACATCTGTAATCCGTAAAAGCGTCTGATGGCAGACTAATCGCGTCGCTCGCCCGTTCTCTATTACGCTGTTGTTAACGGCTTGGCTGGAATTTTTGCTCCTTGTTTTTGTTGCTACTGGTGAGCGCAGCGATATTACTGAACGTGGAGCAGTCGTGTATGAGCTAGTCCAATTGTCGGTTACTGTTAACAGCATCAACGAGTGGGATCCGGTCCTTGGCAGACATAGTTGTCAACAGTGAGTAATAAACACTAACGGCACGACACGCGGTGAACGAATCGTCGCCATAATCATCATTTCGTCCTTGTTGTCATTCGACATCTCATCTTTATTTGGCCCAGTATACGTGTGAGAGCGTACCTTTGTGTAATAAAATTTAATACTCATTGTTGTTGTTGTTGATTGGTTTCCGGTTGCGTTGTAGAACATGACCAACGTTAGTCGTCATCGCCTTCGCAACTGTAGTAGCCACAGCAGGGTAACAGCGACTGCTGTCACGATATCGGCAACGCCTGCGTATGTGACCGCACCAACAACTATAAGGAACAACACGACATTCAAACCGGCACGTGATTGATTCCGCCGTTTAGGCACGTCATTTTTCCGATGCTGCCGACGTATTGTGCTTTTTACTAGTAAGTTCACCTCGCGGCGGCTGTGCAACTACTACTAGTTATTTGAATGACGGCGTAACTGATGCGAGCCGGATGCCGACTAGCAGCACTGGGAAATCGAGCACCACGGGCCGCACGTCGAATCTAACGAAACGCTTCTATTGCGACTCTATAGATAAAGTTTCTTGGTAGAAGACGACGACAAAGAAATTTAAGTTGACAACTGTTCTGGCCTCGCCTTTTTTTTGGCGTTCTGTTTTGACGCTTGAGGGGTCCAGCTTGACGGCTGATTAGCTTATCTGATATGCTGAACGTTGCAGCCTATTTTTGGTCGTACAGCGGTGAAAATCAACCACTGGATACACCGATTCCGATTTGGAAATAGACTCAGAAGCGGAAGAGTTCACACACAATGAAGGATAGTGTTGCTAGTGATGGTTGCACTAGGGCACTTTTTGCTAACGCTGCAATTTATTGCTTTTTTGTTTAAGCTCAACCAACGTTAAGCCCATAGCGACAAGGGACACTCAACGTCCCATGCAAAGGCAATAACAGCATGACACATGTGGTCAGTCAGGCCTACTATGTCTGGCCATTGTGACTGGCATAGAAGCACCCACACCCGCTGACGCGGCGAGACGCACAAACCACGTGTTTACCGATCGATCCGTCTGCGCGCGTGCGCGTATTACAGTGTAATAACTTGTTGTCAGTTGTGACTAAACTAGTGACGCCTACGAGATTTTGGAAGATGAACCGATTAACGGTGATGGCAGTAACAATATATGGAAGTCGTCGCTAAGTGGAGATTGTTCACATTGGAAAAGGAGGTTTATACGATTGAATGTGAACTTCAACGGAGCGCAAGTGGATTTATTGTAGACTAAAGTAGGTGACAAAATGACCACTGATCTTCTGTCGAGACTTGATCTCATGCATCCTTGGCTTATTTCAAGGGTTAGTATAGTGTATTCTAAATGGGCGGGTATACGCAGAGTTAGAAATGTTTTGTTTGAGCTAACTGTCGTAGCTATATTCAAAATCATCGGTTATTAAAGGGGTAAGGTGAAACATTTACTAGGTTTTTCAAAAATTAGGGTTTTTGTTTATCCAAGATATTTACATGCATACAATGTACAGTTAACAGGTTAACTGTAGTAGACTTATTGACAGCGAATATGCTTTATGTGTACAAGTAGACTGTGATAATTATAAGTAACAGTAATTTTATATAATTAGAGTAACCCAGCCTTCGGTTCAAACAAAGCCATGTCAACAATGGGGATGTTTGTCAACAGTTTATGGGTCTGAAAAATGGGATAACTTTCGTCTTTTGCCGGTGTAAATCCGCCATCTCGTTTCGGGTCTTGAAGTGTCCTTAAATATTTGACGTTAATAATGACCACGAGTTTTATTACGCCGATTCGTTGCCTGCGGTTTGTTTTAACCATTCACTGCCAGCCATTATATGTGATACGCCGCATTCCGTGTGTGACATAAGCCCGAAGCTAATTAATCAGCTCTTTGTGCCCAAAATAGGTTCTGGCATATTATGAATTCCAAATCTTACTTAGATCATCTAGTGTCACCTCTTCAGCTTCCAAGGATGGTTTTTTGTGGACCATTTTGTGCGCCCCCAAAATGGTCCACAAAAATCGATTGTGGATCGATTTAACAGGGCAGCAAGCTATACACTTTTCACACACTAAGGCACAACATACAATGTTACACAATGTAGTATAATCCACAATGCACAACATTGTATGTTGTGCTTTAGCGACTAAAGGTGATATGATAATGTATGCTTTCGATTATAATGAAAGTAAATTTATATTCACTATAGAAATTCAAGAGAGCTTTTGGAATCTATTTGAAAACATGAAACGTGGATGTGAGTTGCCTTATAGCGGTTCGTCTCTCAAAGACACTTATCCACTTGGTACTGTTCTGTTATAGGCTCCATTACATTACCTATCAAATAATATGGTATCTTCCAACCGACCTCTTTGTCTACCACCTCACTTGTTTTCGGAGTATTCGACAATCTGTTTGCTGCTCGAAAGTTTGTTCTTCACATGTTTTTATTCTTTTTTTTTTTGCTGTTTTTATATTCGCTCTAGACAAAATGGGAAGCAACCGTTACTTGGGTGCGAATCCTCAAGTTCAATTTAAGGCATGATACCAGCTAAAAGTTCACGTTGTATTGACTACGGGACCCGTGTAGACCTAATGTTAGTTTCTTTAGTCACGGTTGTTCACTTCTGTTGTCGTAGCAATAGCTACTACACCTGCGACTAACTTAAACGTTTCGACTTAAAGTTAGTCTCGGACCGCCGTTAGATGGCATCGTTAGAACATCCGAATCTGGCCGCGCCCTTTTCCCGTCCGAAACACGAGCATTGTGTCCGCTCCAAGTATCCATTATACGTTTCCTGCAGCTGCAACCCCTATTTCTACTGATGCTGATACCATTGCTGCTATTATCGGAATGACATGTTTACACAGGCAGCTACATAATGTTTCTGCCTATTGCGTATACGATACTACGTGTTTAAGAAAGTTAGTGAAGTAATAGACTATAGGATAGTAGAGTAGCGTGTCAGAAAACCTTCTGCCGACTACTGCGAAGGGCTCGCTGAATCAGACAGATCCCGTGGCCATCGATCTGATGCTGTTACTTTAATGGAAGCACGAAAGTGGCACCCAAACAGGGAAATATCTGTGTGTAAATTCATAGCAAAAATAACACGCCCAGTGGTATATTTCTACTATTTTGCGACAGAAGTGTTTAATCAGGATTTTACATAACCCATTACTTTTTTTTTAAACTCTGACGAATACCTTTGTTACACAGCGTTTGTTATGGGTGAAAAACTCGTCTAATGATTTTGTCAGTTCTGTTGACTACATAAGGTCTCATAGTGTTCGGCATTGAACAGTTTGTATTATTTGCTAGAAATGGATGAAGCAATGAGTGATCTGAGAATGGTCGGAGGGATACTTAAAAATAATTAAATCATCAAAACAAAAAGGAATAGTCCAGCTTGGCTACTTCGTAAGTGCTTAGTAAATACTCTGATGAGCAGACAAATGCGGTTCGGACAATTTAATAGCTGTCTGGAAATGTTAGAGGGATTATGGTAATAATAGAAAGCAAGAAAAAAAAGCGGGGTAAGTGTAAAAAAGATGGACGCATTGAACCTGAGATTGTCGACAGAATCAGGATGGCATGTGCGTGTCCTGTGACATAACGTACGTGTGCATGCACGGTAGTGGTATGACGATTAAAAGCCCCAGCGTATACTTAGTACGTGTTCTATAAGTGTCGAAGGAGTAAAGAACTATCGAAATAAATCGCGAAAAATTCTATTGGTACAAACGAAGTGATGATATTGAATACAAATGCCCCAGTTGTGGAACTATCTGCCTGTTTGATGCAGACGAGTATGACTATAACTGAATCGTGATCATTGTCGTTTTGTAATGATAGTAGGGTATCTACTGTCGTTGATGTTGCCATTTTGACCGCCTACGCCATCGTAGTATGTTTTATTACCAATGCGATGAAATGATAGCTGCAAATGCTTTTACTACCTGTTATCTGTTTATATATAGAAGTAGTTATGATAGCCAGATTCGGGTTACTATCCTCGCTTTAATTGAGTTGTTATACGTAGAAAGAAAAAAAATTGGCGCGTGCGCCTATTTGAGGCAGCGACATTAATAAAGGCTGAATCGGACATACAAGTTAGTAACGAACCTGCTTGATTCAGGAATCTTCCTTGGTTCATTGGAATTGATGTGGAATGGGTTCTGTGGGAGCGAATTAATCGCTCCTTATCGACTCTGCCATTGCAATTAGTCAATGTAGCAGAAATTTCTAGGTGTTGTTGCCTTAATGCTTATTCTGGAAGTCATCAATCACATTGCGCCGAATAGTACAAGGCGGTTGCAAGTTAAACTGAAACTGTCATTGTCGCGTTGCGACTTTTTTTGAATAAGGTTTAAAATATACAGAACCGTAAACGGATGCAGTGGTCAATGTCGTTCATTCTCTAATCCTATTCAAAGTTTGTCCTCTTGTCCAGCTATTTGTTCCAACGGCTATGTAAAATTTTAGCTAGCTAGCTAGCTAGATTACCTACGGAGTGTGAACATCCTGAATGATACGTCTTGTAATCCATATTGCATACTATTTGTCCGCATAATCCGCGTGGTGTGGATGCGGTCATCTTTTTCTCGTTTGGCTTCTGTTAGTCTTAGTCGACATTGCTAGGGTCATTCAGCAGTAAGAAAGCGCTTCGTTTGATCACATCCACAGAATTAATTTTACGTTCAATTTACTATATGCATTTCGTTCAGCCATCAGCTACAAGCGATCTTACGGATCAGTTGAATAGGTACTTTTTCCGGATGCGGCTCCTCTTTCAGGGGTATGAGCGCCACGACTTATTACGAGCTCTACAGTTGCAGTAGAGCAATATACAACGGGTATATAGCGACTGTGAACACACGATGCTGGGTGAACTTAAATCGAATTTAGTCAGACGGAGAAGCTGGGAATAGTTCTTATAGGATTACTGTGTGTATATTGCTGGCTTTCTTCATGTAGTGGTGTCTCTATATGAGAAGGTAAACGCTATTGTTGATTTGAAGTATTACTGCAAGGAACTGTTTTAAACTAATTTGCATACATGATTAACCTTTTAAGGAAATGCTAGTAATACGTATACATGAGACCTCAGGCTAAAACGGCGTCGGAGCAAGGTATAGCAAAAGTGGCAACTATGAATTCATCTATTCTCTGTATTGATGTGTTGGTTATGGCCATTTATTTTTTGGCTGAGGGAAGTGTGATTGCTAACAGTGAGTCATACAATTCTTTCCTTATAAATTGTGTTTGATCACGTTGGTGGTAAAAGTGTACTTGAAAAAGTCTACTGTGGCCTATAGACGCCGGCAGACCGTGAGATCGTCGATAGTACCTGCTTGTGTATGTTAATGCAAAGGATTATAGAAATTTTATCGATCTCAGATGTTTTACTGAAATCGGAAGTTTTCTTTTCCTTCGTTTGCCACGGTTGGATCTCGTTAGCTTTAATTGCATTTATTTTAGTTTGAGTTACTTTGCTGTTTATTTTCTTTGGTGGTTAGGAAATTCATTGACTGTTCTGGCTATCGAAGCTGCCGTTAAGACTGCCTATTGAATTGATCTATTGCGTGGATAGAAAAGGAAGCGTCAGTTACAGCCTTCCATGCTGCTGCGTTGCCTCCTTGCCTGCTTGTCTGCCATGTCAGTTGTAAGGAGTGGCTTCGACCTTGGATGGGGACGTCAGTGTGGCGGGCCAACTTTAATGTCGCGGGGCGCGCCTTCATTCAATAAAATCGGGAAGATTTTGGTAGCTCAACTCACCCCACCTCACCTCACCCCACGTTGTGGGAATGTAAAGGAACCCCTCTGATTCTAAATGGAAACTGTAAATACCACTCATATGAGGAGCTTCAAATGGCTTAGTTTAAAAAACGTAATTTGGCTAGGTTTATACAATTGCTAAGGTAACTCGAGACACTTCACGGGTTTATTTACTAAGCAACATCTTGGTTTTGTCTAAAACGAAACGGTTACAGCCCGTTTATGCCTTATTCGAGGAATGAGTTTATCTAGGAAATCTTAAAAAGATAATATATCAAAGATAATCTTTATCAAGTTAATCTTTAACTTGTCGAGAAAGTATTGACCGTTTCTCTAGCTAAATGTGTTTTGTATGAGTTTTACCGTGTTGGGGTTGGTGTTAGTTGACTTGAAACCCGCCAATAGTGGTTGCGCCAAAATCGTGGGTATGTCTTTGTTTAGATGAAAGATAGAGCGTCTTGAGGATGAGTAAAACTTGTGCACAGTTTTACTATATTTTAAATTACGGCACATTACGATAAAAGCACGAATGTTACTCAGACTC